GCTCTTCCGATCTAAAATCATCTCCTTGGGATATTTATTCCCCTCTTCCCTTGTCTCCTGATCTCATAAGATTGTGTTTTATCAGACGTATTCCATCATCTTTAGTAGGGTGAAGCCAAAAGCTTGCACAACTTCCAAGGCCAACCTCTATTCCTTATATTTTTCTACTCATTGTATTTTTCTATTCCTTATATTTTCCTATTCCTTATATTTTCCTATTCCTTATATTTTTCTATTCCTTATATTTATTCTTCTATTCTTTAGATTCTTCTATTCTTCATATTCTCCTATTCCTTATATTCTCCTATTCCTTATATTCTCCTATTCCTTAGATTCTCCTATCCCTTAGATTCTCCTATCCCTTAGATTCTTCTATTCTTTAGATTCTTCTATTCTTTAGATTCTTCTATTCTTTAGATTCTCCTATCCCTCATATTCTCCTATCCCTCATATTCTCCTATCCCTCATATTCTCCTATCCCTCATATTCTCCTATCCCTCATATTCCTCTATTCCTCTTGGTTATTATTGTTATTAGTTTTTTTAAATTTTATTTTCTTATTTTTAATTCTTATTTAAATTCTTATTTTTGTTATTTTATGCAGTGATAGGATGTGAGGGAATGGCTTTAAGCTGAAGGAGGGTACATTTAGACTGGATATTAGGAAGAAATTCTTCTTCCCTGTCCAGCCTGGAGAAAAGGCTCTGGGGAGACCTTGGAGCCCCTTCCAGGGCCTTAAGGGGCTCCAGGAGAGCTGGAGAGGGACTTGGGACAAGGGATGGAGGGACAGGACACAGGGAATGGTTTCCCAGGGTTAGATGGGATATTGGGAAGGAATTCTTGGCTGGGAGGGTGGTGAGGGGCTGGAATGGAATTCCCAGAGAAGCTGTGGCTGCCCCATCCCTGGAAGTACCCAAGGCCAGAGTGGATCAACCTGGGCTAGTGGAAGGTGTCCCTGCCCACGACAGAGGATTGGAACTGGATGATCTTTCCGCTCCCTTCCAACCCAACCCATTCCTTAACTCCTTGATTATTATTATTATTATCCCCCATAGTTCCACAGTTGTTCCTCGCTGCCATCAAGTGCTTTGCTAAAATAGAACTGATACCGTTGCTAACGATTTTTTTCGTGGGAAGTCTCCTCCTCTCTGTTTTCCATCCGACCCCAAAACATTCCCTCCGTTAGAACTTGCACCGACTGCGTTTCTCCGGAGCTTGGAGCAAAGTCGATCCTTGGATCCTCTCCCTGGTTTCTGTTGCCCCCTTGTGTCCCGAGCCTGAAACGCTTTTCCAGGCCCACGTGTTTCCAAGCGACGCGTACGCACCCGGAGAGAGCTTTTTTTGGGAGTTTAAGCCTTGGAAACGGGTGCCTTGGTTGCAGTCTGTGGCAGAGGAGATGTTTGCTCTGATATCCGTGGGTTACCATGATTTCAGCTCCTCTGGCTGTTTTCCCACCGCATCCTTTTCCCGAGGAGGGTCGAAACCTGTGGAAGGCAAGTGGGGAGGAGCAAAGAGGTGATGAAGAGGATGAAGAGAGGACGTGCAGGGCGAGGACAAGGCTTGGCTTAGCCTGGAAAACAGGGAGAGCTGCTGCATCTTCCCAAAGGCTGAGCCAGGAGGGACGGGGCCGGGTCGTTCTCCGCGTTCCCGCTCCCGGACCTGCAGGGCAAGGACAAGGCTTGGCTTAGCCTGGAAAACAGGGAGAGTTGTTGCACCTTCCCCAAAGGCTGTTCCAGGAGGATGGGGCTGGGTTGTTCTCCACCTTCCCAGTTCCCATGGGAGGCAAGGCACAGAGAGAAGTTAATTTGCAGGAGGAGATTGAGGTTAAGCTTTAGGAGGGACTTCGGGGGCGGCACGACACCGGTTTTCAGGAACATCTGCCGGCTCCGGCGCCGGGGGAGCCAAGTAGGTCACCCTTCAAGGTCCCTTCCCAGCCCTCCATGGAGGGCTCGAGCTGAGGGGCTGGGAACGACCCCATTTAGAGCACCCAGCAGGCTGGGAACGTGACTGGGCTGTCCCTGAGTCACTCAGGGTGTCACAGCCCGGGGAAGCTGCTCCCCATCCGTAGGCAGCGGGAACGGCGCCGGAGCCGCTCCGCTCCCGACCGACCGAGATCCCTCTGCTCCCTCCCTCCCTGGCAGGCAAAGCTCACCTGAAAAAAGCCATCATGAAGCACGAGGAGGCCATGAGGATCCACGGGTTGTGCAAGATCCTCAGGAAGATGGACATCCTGCAGGAGGTCCTGTCCTTCGCCCACAAGCGCTCCCTGAGCAAATACTCGGAGATCGACCACGAGGAGGATTTCTTCGAGACGGGAGATGCCCCAGACATCCACCGTGAGTGGGGTGGGAGTTCTTTTTGGGGGGGTGGTGCAGCTGGGGAGGGGGTTTTTGGGATTTTTTTCCTGGGGTGGGGAAGGTCCACAGTGAGTTCGTGGCGTGGCAGGGGGGGTTCTTTAAATTCCCGCCTAACCCGGACCGTTCCAGGATTCTCTGCTGCCTGAGCAGGTCCCGGTTCTTACAGTTCCCACCTTGGGAGATGTGGAGGTAGAAATTGCCTCCACATCCCCTCTGAGGTCACCCCCTCTGTGTGTTTTTTCTCAGCCAAAACCCACCAGAAGCCCGAAATCAAACCCCCCAACTTCTCCCAGGTGAAGGTGACCGACCTCTTCCACAGGCTGGTAAGTCCAGCTCCAGGATCAAGGATATCCCAAGGGAGCAAACATCCCCTCCTCCTCCTCCTCCCCTGCATGCTCTGCTTTGCCTGCCTTTCTTCCTCCCCCAGCCTCTTCTCCCTCTGCCAGGGCAGCTTTCCAAGGAGGATGAGCCGCCTCCTCGCAGGCAGGAAGAGAGTTGGGAGGGCACAGATCTGGCTCTGTGAGACCTAAATGGGTCACCGAGCTCCTCTGGGAGCTGGCACGGGCATTTTGGGGGGGGGGGTTGACCCAAGGGAGCCTCGAGGGGAAGGTTTTTGTGGGGCAGGAGGCAGCAGGAAAATCCCACTGGAGCTTTATCCCGATCCTTTTAGGTTTGTGGGGTCTTGGGAAACAGGACTGAGGTTCAGAGCTTTGGGGTTTCTGTGGGGCCTGGCTGTGCTGCACCCCAAGGAGAGGTTGTCCTCTGCTCTTGGACAGCTCCAGGGCAGGCAGGGATATTCTGCTCCTATGGGAATGGAAAAAAAAGGAAAAAAAGACAGGAAAACAGGAAAGATTTGAGGGGAAATGTCCTCTGAAGAGGTGACCTGGACCATCACCTCATCTCCTCCTCCATGTGGGTGGTTTTGACACAAGAAGGACCCAAGGGAGCCTTGAGAGGAAGGTTTGTGGGGCAGGAGGCAGCAGGAAAATCCCACTGGAGCTTTATCCCGATCCTTTTAGGTTTGTGGGGTCTTGGGGAACAGGACTGGGGTTCAGGACTGAGCTTTGGGGTTTCTGTGGGGCTTTGTGGTTTCTGTGGGGTCTGGCTGTGCTGTCACTGGGCACCCCAAGGAGAGGTTGTCCTCTGCTCTTGGACAGCCCCAGGGCAGGCAGGGATATCCTACTCCTGCAGGAATGGAAAAGAAGGAAAAAAGACAGGAAAACAGGAAAGATTTGAGGGGAAATGTCCCCTGAAGAGGTGACCTGGACCACCACTCACACCCTCCTCCATGTGGGTTTGACCCAAGGGAGCCTTGAGAGAAGGGTTTGTGGGGCAGGAGGCAGCAGGAAAATCCCACTGGGGCTTTATCCCGATCCTTTTAGGTTTGTGGGATCTTGGGGAACAGGACTGGGGTCTGGGGCTGAGCTTTGGGGTTTCTGTGAGGTCTGGCTCTGCTGTCCCCACCCCCTGGGCACCCCAAGGAGAGGTTGTCTCTGCTCTTGGACAGTCCCAGGGCAGGCAGGGATATTCTGCTCCTGCGGGAATGGAAAAGAAGGAAAAAGACAGGAAAATAGGAAAGATTTTGAGGGGAAACAGGCCCTGAGGAGGTGACCTGGACCACCACTCCCACCCTCCTCCATGTGGGTGGGTTGGACCCAAGAAGGACACAAGGGAGCCCCCAGAGGAAGGTTGGTGGGGCAGGAGGCAGCAGGAAAATCCCACTGGACCTTTATCCCGATCCTTTTAGGTTTGTGGGGTCTTGAGAAACAGGACTGGGGTTCAGGACTGAGCTGTGGGGTTTCTGTGGGGCTTCATGGTTTCTGTGGGGTCTGGCTGTGCTGTCACTGGGCACCCCAAGGAGAGGTTGTCCTCTGCTCTTGAACAGCCCCAGGGCAGGCAGGGATATTCTACTCCTGCAGGAATGGAAAAGAAGGAAAAAAGACAGGAAAACAGGAAAGATTTGAGGGGAAATGTCCCCTGAAGAGGTGACCTGGACCACCACTCACACCCTCCTCCGTGTGGGTGGGTTTGACCCAAGGGAGCCTTGAGAGGAAGATTTTGAGAGGCAGCAGGAAAATCCCACTGGAGCTTTATCCCGATCCTTTTAGGTTTTTGGGATCTTGGGAAACAGGACTGGGGTTCAGGACTGAGCTTTGGGGTTTCTGTGGGGTCTGGCTCTGTTGTCGTTGGGCACCCCAAGGAGACGTTGAACATCTCTGCCCTTGAACAGGTCCTGTGGGAATGGAAAAGTAGGAAAAAAAAATGAAAAGAGGAAAGATTTGAGGGGAAACAGCCCCTGAAGAGATGACCTGGACCACCCCCAGCATTTCCCAGAGCCAGACAGTGATAAAGCCCCTCAACCTCCCTCATCCCACCTTGGATGATGGGTTTTTTTCCCTTCAAAACAGGGAATTTCTTCCCCTGCCCCCTCTCCATCCCTGGAATTCCAAGGCTGCGTATCCTTGGGGAAGTTGTTCCTGCACCAAGAGGTGCTTTCCATGTTTTCTGCCTCACCCCAGGGACCCCTGTCGGTCTTCTCTGCCAAAAACAAGTGGTATCCAGCCAGGAGAGTCCACCTGAGGAGGGGAGAGAACGGATTTGGGTTCACCCTGAGAGGAGACTCCCCCGTCCTCATCGCCGGCGTCATCCCGGGGGGCTGCGCTGCCGTGAGTATCCCAGCTTCCCAATATTCCCAGGCTGGAATTGAGGGGGTTTGGGAGGGATACCAAGTGGTTTTGGGTCTTAGAACTTCATTGGTGAGCTCAGGTGGAGACTCATCCCTGCCTGATCCCAGCCTGAGTTCCCAGGGGGGGCTGATTATTCCAGGTTCCTGCTATTCCCATGCTGGAATTTGGGGGTTTTTTGAGGGATACAAGGGGGATTTAGGTCTTGGTGAGCTCAGGTGGAGGCTCATCCCTGCAGGATTCCAGCCTGGGTTCCCAAGGGGCTGATTATTCCAGGGTCTTGTTATTCACATACTGGAATTGAGGGGGTTTTTGAGGGATACCAAGTGGTTTTGGGTCCTAGAACTTCATTGGTGAGCTCAGGTGGAGACTCATCCCTGCAGGATCCCAGCCTGGCTTCCCTGGGATGCTGATTATTCCAGATTCCTGCTATTCCCATGCTGGAATTGAAGTGTTTTTTGAGGGATACCAGGTGGTTTTAGATCTTAGAACTGCATCAGTGAGTTCATCCCTGCCACATTCCAGCCTGGATTCTTGGGGGGCTTCGCTGCCGTGAGTATCCCAGGTTCCTGCTCTTCCCATCCTAGAATTGAGGTGTTTTGAGGGATACCAGCTGGTTTTAGGTCTTGGTGAGCTCAGGTGGAGACTCATCCCTGCAGGATCCCAAGCTGGGGGTTGCAGGTGGGTGTCAGGGAACAACTGAGATGAATTTTTAGGGCAAAACAGGGAGGTTTGCTCAGATTTTAACTGCTGGCTGCCCACCCAGCTGCCTTATCCCTCATTTTTGGGATGTGAGGATGGAGGGAACAGGATGGCAAGTCTGCAAAACAGGTTGTCTCACTGAACACTCACTGTGGGGGCTTTATGGGGTAGGAGGGCAACTTTTTATCCAGCAGATCCCAGAGAATCCTGATGGGATGCCCAAAAGGTCTCCCAGCTCCCTCAGCATCCACCAGCCATCCAGAGGCTGGAATCTCTGTAACAGCACAGGATCTGAACAGCAGGATCACATCCTTTTTTTGGGAGACCAAAATCTTCTCCAAGACTATTTATGGACCAAAGTTGTGTCCTTTCTTCAACCTGGAGAAAGGAGGGATCCAGGGAGACCTTTGAGCTCCTTCCAGTGCCTAAAGGGGCTCCAGGAGAGCTGGAGAGGGAATTTGGATGAGCGATGGAGGGACAGGACAAGGGGGAATGGCTTCAAACTGAAATATGGG